AGATTTTTGCAAAAGGGACTAGCGCTCTTTCTGCTACTCCAGCAGGAGCAGGGTCCCTTCCAGGCCCTTCGGGACGGGGTGGGAGCGGTTCTTCGACCAATGTAAGCCTTGAGGGATAGACCACGTGGCTCACGGTCGGGTGCTCAGAATCTGGATGCCTGTGTCGTGCCCAGCTGGGTCCTTTCCCCCGGGGCTCAGTTTCCGCAACAGAAAACCGGAGTTACTGCCCACTTTCACTTCTCTTTCCTCCATCACTTACTAGTTGTACGACCTGGGGCAAGCTGCCTATCTACTCAGTGCCCTTATTTCCACATCTGGAAAATGGGTGTCATAATCATATGTACCCCATTAGGTCGTTGTTATAAGGACCAAAAGAGTGCTATTTAAATTTGGAACTTTCAGGAAACAGTGCAGGGGAGGGAGGTGCTCACTCTATTCTGAGGACTCTGAAGGAGGAAGATCCCAAGTACTGAAGTACTACTCGTCCACGGGGGAGCTTATTCACTTGCACATGAATCATTACGGGAGAAATATTGTCTGCTTCTTTCTTTAAATCAGGTCAATTCCTATGTGCAATTCCTATGCAGCTTTTTTAAAGTCATATCTTTATTTTTTTAAAGATTTTATTTATTTATCTTTAGAGGAGAAGGGAAGGAGAGAAGGAGAGAAACATCAATGTGTGGTTGCCTCTCATGCGTCCCCTGCTGGGAACTGGCCTGCAACCCAGGCATGTGCCCCGACTGGGAATTGAGCCGCGATCTTTTGGTTCGAAGGCCCACGCTCAATCCACTGAGCTACACCAGCCAGGGCTGTGCCGCAGCTTTTTTATCCACTCATCTACTGATGGGCACTTGGGTTGCTTTCATATCACGGCTACTGCGTGCTGCAGTGGACGTAGGGATGCATATATTCTTTTGAATTACTGTTTTGGGTTTCTTTGGATAAGTCCCCAGAAGCTGAATCACTGGGTCTAGATCAGCTTAATTGAGGCTCCCAGTTCCCACAGAGGAATTTCTACTCCAGTCATTCTGACAACCTGCTTGGGATAGTGGGTATTTTTCAGACTGAGGCCCTGGCCCACAAGAATATGTGCAACAATATCTCTGTCCTGCAAGCTCTCCTTGCACTTTGCTACCCCCTCATCAAGAGAGAGAAACTGTGTTCCCTCCCCTCGAACTGGGGGGCCTTTGTGATTGCCTCCACTAATAGAATACAAAAGAAGAGATACTACATGATTCAAGTCTAGGTCAGAAAATGCCACGTGCTTCTGTCCTGTTCTCTGTCTTGCAACAAAGGAAGCCCATGCAACATGCAGAGACACCTTATGGAGAGGAACTGAGGCCTTGGTCCCCAGCTCTGGCTGAGCCCCAACTTGCTAGCCATTTGAGAGCGCCATCTTGGAAATGGATCCTCTGGATCAGCTGACACTGTGCAGAGCAGAGATAAGCCTTCCCCACTGAACGCACCCGAGATTGCAGATTTATGGGCTAAATGATTGGGTGGTTTGTTACAGAGCAATAGGAAACAGCTGCATCACGCTCCCTCCTCCCTGCAGGGTTGTGTAAGTCCTGGGGCCTTACCCAGGTGCAGGCATCAACGGGCCCCTTTGCTCTTCCCCTGGCAAAGTGCCCAGGTGAGCCACGACAAAGTGCCCAGGTGAGCCACGACAAAGCCTGACTCTTGCTGGAAAGATAGGAAATGCTGGGAGAACCAACCCGATCTGACCTGTCAGTAAAGCACTCAGACGCACATCTCAATGACTGTCCCTTCAGCTTCCAGGGTGTGCAAGCATTGTGCTCGGTGCTGGGAGACGAAGGGAAGTCACGGTGCCACCCATGGACCTGGGAAAGAGAGGTCACCCATGTCACCTTGCTTTAGTGCCTAAAATCCTGGAAATCTCTGCCTAAAGGACCCAAGGCCAGTTTTATGGCTTACCCAAGCACTTTCCCCAGGTAAATGTGGCCTTGTGCGTACCCCTCAAGGGGTAACCGATCGGTAACTATAGGCAAGATATGTGTACAGTTTGGTCACATGGGCTAGGGTGTTTATATGCCTAGGTCCTTGGCCACTTGTAGCACAAGACAGATGTGGAACCAGGAAGAGAATCAAGGTGGGCTGGCTGAGGGCTGGGGTCAGGGCTGGCCCACCCCATACTGTCATGTTCCTGCCAGAATCCCTAAGAGTACAAGAACTTTAAATTTGAACATGGCCTTCTTGGTCACCATAGAGAATATTTCTCAAGGCAGGAGAATAAACATGTGTTATTTTCCAGTCTGTTAAAGGTTTATATATAAGGGACGTGGGCCTTCGTTTGCACTATTAACATGTCAGGGTAGTCCCAGGGGGATAGTAACAGCGGGGGTGGTGGGTGGGGGTAGAATACGGCAGAGATTCCAGAAGCTGCCTGCAGACTGCCCTCCATGTTGCCACAGCTGCCCCCATCTCTAATCTGGAGTGACAGAGACAGGAAGGGGTAGCAGATGGGACTAGTGTAATGAGATGTCTGTCTGGGGGAGGGGGGACAATGGAATCCAGCTGTTTTGCCAAGTTCCAGGTACCAGCACAAACACCCCCAGCCTGAGGGGAGGGGACATGAAGCACAGTCAAAGAAGAGGGCATTTTAGAGCCATTTTGCATGGGTTGGCCAGGAACCCAGCCCAGGACCGAATAGCACAGTAGTTCTCAAAGTACAGTCCCTGAACCAGCAGCATCGACATCAGCTGGGAGCTAGTTAAGCTCTTGGTCTCTTGCAAGATAGATGGCTTCCCTCCATGGGAAGAACAATTTGTGTGCAGATTCTCTAAAGAAAACTCTTTACTGGAAAAAGAACACTTCTCGAACATACAAAGTGTCCGAGAATGGGCGAATGGTTCATTCACAGTACCAGATTTGATCCTCGACACTCAAGATTAGTGTTATTATTACCTTTCTAAGGGCTTATCAAAGAAAAGTGAAGTACTGTGGATGAAAGAGGGGCTCTACAGAAAGTAACCTCACAGGGTGGTTGATCATAAATCCCTAACTGGGCAGTTTACGGTGAGTAGTCACCCCCGGGCCCACGATTTTTTGAGTGAAAGTTCACATCTGTCAGAAGCAAGCCCTGTGCATTGTTCTTGTGTATCTAGGTTAACACATCTTGGAATAATCATAATCACCCTCACGATCTTAACCATCCTGTAATCCAATCCCCACCTCGCTTTCTCGCCATCTTCATGTACCCTTCCTTACTTCCCTCATAATTTCAAATGCAGAAAAGAAACGGCAAGACTGTCCTCCAAAGCATTCAAGATCTTGCTCCCCAGTAATAGTAGTCAGTTTGGGCTTGAATAAACTCAGAAAAATTCTTTACAGGTTTGGACAATCCTCGCCCTGCCTGCCTTGGGCCACAATGCTCCCAGGAGGCTACCTGGTCTGTGTGATTGTCGGACCACCCAAACTTCTTCTCAGACTTGATGGGATTCAGAATCTCCCGGAGGCCTTGCTAAAACAAATTGCTAGGCTCCTTCCCCCGAGTTTCTCATTCGGTAGGTCTAGAATGCAGTCCCAAAACACACATTCCTAACAAGTCCCCAGGCGCCACTGCTGCTGCAGGTCCAAAGACCATGCTTTGAGAAGGACCATGCTGGCCTGGGATCCAGTTCCCAACCTACTCCACCCACGTGGAATGACGTCCTTGGGAGATGCCAGTGAGATAATGGGAATGAAAGAGCTTTGTCAACTGCACAGGTAAATGGCCCTGGTCAGTAACCTGCCTGAAGCTGGTCTCTGAGTCTGGGAATGCAGAGGGCTGGAATGCAGGTGGGGGACCCACTGCCATCTGAAAATCTTTTGCACCCCTTCTTAATTCTGGGTGGTTGGTTCCTTCTCTAGGGAGAAAGCCAGCTTCTGAGGACTCAGGCCAGCAATCCCTCCTGCCACCCTCCTCATCAACCCACACCTCTTCCTTCACCTCAGAGAGCCTACTGGGCACTGCTCCAATGCTAGCTGGCCCAGGCCACTTCTCCAGGGGCCAGCCAGCCCAGGCAAGCTGGGGCAGCATCAAGCCTGTGATTCAGGGCTTGGGACAAGATCCTGCTCACACCTCCAAGTGTGAGACTCAGAGAACATGACTTCTCTTCTCTCACCCTCAGGTTACTCTTGGGTAAAATGGGTGCAATATCTGCATAGAGTTGTGCAAGTTCAGGAGCCAGTAGGTTTTTACAGTGCTTGGCATAGAGTCGGGCCTCTGGCAAGAGTTTAATCAGGGGTAATGTTAGGATTTTCAAAAAGTGCTTGGGCCCAAGCCTCCTCCTGATAGAGGTTCAGACTTGGGACGCAAACCACTCCCACGCCGTGCACCGGTTGGACCCGGATACGCCCTCCCTGGAATGCCAGCATGGGGCCCTCCTCCCGCCGGCCCGCGTGCAGTTTGGTTTGGCAGGGAAAGACCAGATTAGGTAGGCGCTGAGGCGGGGAAGGGGCGTGCCTGGGGCGTGGCCTCATCCAAGGAGGGCTTCGGCCAGGGTCCGCGGAGAGGAGAATGTGATGGAGGCGGGGGCAAGGTGGAGGAGAGGCGGGACCGTTAGGTAGCATTGTGAGTGAGGCTTCCCACCCAGCAGGACTAGATCTCGGAACCCCGCCAGGCCGGGGTTAGGCTTTATCTCGGCATCGCAGGGAGCTGGAGGAACACAGAGAAGAGGACTGAGGAGGAGGGCTCAGGGACAAACCTCATTCACCGTGGGCCTAGGGGCGGGGCTGGAGGGATAGATTGGAGGCCATAGCGGGGCGGGGCAAGGGGCGTGGCCCCACCCCCAGCAGGGCGCGAGGCGGGGCTGCCAGGGTTACAGTAGGGAGGCCGTGGTGGGCGGAGCCTGGTCGGGCTCGTTGCCAGGGTACATTCCAGCAGCACCCTGGGGCGGGGCTGGCGGACTTGAGACTGGAAGCCAGGGGGCGTGTTCAGGGCGTGTTCTCCAGCGGGGGCGGGGCTTGGCCGAGGCCGTTGCTTTCTCTGAGGACCGCCGGGAGGGGCCGAGTGGTTGAGCCCAGCGCTGCGCAGTTGGACGCTTGACTGGGGCGCGAGAGGGCGACGCCAGTCTTGCAGCGCCGAGCAAAAACCAGAACCAGCAGGTGAGAAGGGACCGGGGGAGGTCGATCGGACAACCAGTAGCAAAGTTAGTTTTCGCCACCACTTCCAGAGCGCGCTTGGGCAGCTTTCTCGGAACAAGTGACAGGTCGGGCCACGAAGGCAGCTGGTGGGTGAGAAGGAGCTTAAGTTCCGGAGTTCTGAACCCCAGTTCCCCAGCTCCGCCATGTACCAGCTGTGTGACCCCGGGTTCAGCCCTGCCCTAGGCCCTGGACCTCTCGAGTTCCAGTAAAAGGAGTTTGAACCAGGTGAACTTCACGGTCTCGTTGCCCTTTCTTGTTAAAACCCGGAAGGCGAAGGCTTGCAGGTGAGAACCAATTCAGTTCAGCCACAGGTATTCAGATTGCGCTGCCCAGACGGCGGTTTCTCTTCCTGCAGAGTGGCACTGAGCGAAGCCAAGTCTCTGTAAACGTGAAGCGAACTGCTGTACAGGTCACACTAGTTACTTGGATGGAGCTTGAACCCACAAGCCCAGGAAGCATGGGGCCCAAGTCTGGGAGATTTCAGTCTCCCTTTCCCCCCAACTCTGAGATCCCAGTATGACTTTGGGTCGGAAACTGAACGGGGCTTTTGTACCCCTCCGAGGGCTTTTCCAGGTGAGTTGGCCTGAGAGACTCAGGGCAGAAAGCAGGGGACAAGTTCTCATCTGGTGAGTGTGGAAGAGAAGGGGAATCCTGGCCAGAGGTTGGTCCCAGAGTCAAGCCCAGGGCCTGGGGCTCTTGCCGTATGCTCAGGTTTAGTTCTTGGGTCTAGAGGTTTCTGTCCTCCGTGGTTGTGGGTGCTCTGTGCCAGGGCCATGGTTGTTGGGCAGCCCAAACCAGGGGTCAAGGGCTTGCTGGGGCTTTGGGACCAGACTGACTTGGATTTCACTCCCCCGCTAAGCTTCAGTTTCCTCATCTGTAAAATGAGGATAATGACAGTGCCATTGTCAGTAGTGAGGACTCAGTAGAATAAAGGGTGTACAGTACTTAGCAAGGCTCCAAGCACATAGTGAGGCCTCACCACATGCCAGCTGCTCTGATGTGGATGGGCAGGTGGCAGATTGGCTTGCTGCCTGAGAATAAGCCTGTTTTTGAAGGGTCAGAAACGGGGCGCATCCCCTCCTGACCCCACGAGAGGCAGAAATTGTCACCTGCCACAAGTGTCAGTTTGTCCATTTCAAGACTGAGGTTTAGATTGTCATCTGGACCAAAGAGTGGCTGAGTGTTCCGTAATATTGCTTGAGGTTGGTGGGTATCCAATTAAATAAACACAAAAATGTGTCCTGAGTACCCACTATATATTGGGTGTTGTTTGAGAGGTGACCTAGCCAGACCTGGTCTCTGCCCTCATTTTGAGTTGCTGCCAGTGAGGGCTCCCCACCCCACCAAACCCCTGCCAGAGAGGATAACCCAGATGCGGGCTGCGGACCAGATGAGGTTCCATGGATCTATACTGCTCCGGAGGCTGCAGTCCAGCTCCTCTATTGCCCACTTGGCTTGGGGTGGAGAAGAGGAGCAGCGGGGCACCTGTTACCTGTTTGATCAGGGTTGGGCACTGGAGGAGACTGGGCATACTGCGTGCCGGCTCCCTGCATCTCCTGAGGAAATGAGCCCTACACTTTGGAACCAGCTGGAAAGTACAATGGGACAAAGTCTGATTGAAGGGTGTACTGAATAGAGGAGAGAGAGAAAATGAATGTGGGGGGGGAGGGGTGCATAAAAGAAGTGAGCCATTGGAGACAGTAGGGTAGGGAGTGACAGAGCTTCTTAGAGTTGGTGAGACTTGAGTGGGACTTTCTACCTGGGTTCCCAAGTCCTGGATGATCTTGGATCAGCTTGGGGCCACAGACTCCCCTCTTCGGCATTTGAGTGACATACAATTAGAGTGCGGTGTGGTGGGGAGGGAGAGGTCAGTGGCTGGTGCCTGTGGGGGAAGGTGTTCATTTCAAACAGGGCTTAGTAAGCATCTACTGGAAAGTCCTCCCCACCACTCTCTCCCCCACGTGATGGTGACAAACGATGACACATTGATCTCATCCTTAGTTGCTAACTGTCTGAGAAGGAACAAAGACAAGGATATCCTTGACTCTGATAGGAGATGAATGAAGAAAGAATTAGAGAGATCTTCAGGAAAGCTTCTTGGAATGATGGAGTTTGGGTGGGCCTTAAGGACTGGGAGTGTTCCAGCAGCCACAGGGAAGACAGTGTTTGGTGCAGATGAAACTGTACAGGCAAAGGCAAGGGGGTCAGTGTGCTCACAGAGATTTAAAGAAACTTCCGGGTTGATCAGTCCAGCTGAAGTGTTGGGACTGGGCAAGGATTCAAAGGGGGAATGGTAATTGGATCAACCCATCGAGGGCCTTGAATGCCAAAGTGAGCTATTTGGATTGTTTTATAGAAAGTAATAGCTACTGAAGGTTTTCGAGCAGGGCAGTGACACAGAGTGGCACCTTATTTTTTTTAAAGATTGTATTTATTTTTAGAGAGAAGGGAAGGAAGGGAGACAGGGAGAGAAACATTGATATGTAAGAGATACATCGATGGGTTGCCTCTGGCACGCCCCCAACTGGGGACCTGGCCCAGAACTCAGGTGTGTGCCCTGACTGGGAATCGAACTGGCGACCTTTGGATTCACAGGCCAGCACTCAATCCACTAACCCACACCAGCCAGGGCCAGAGTGGCACTTTAGATATGCTGGAGTGGGTGACCCAGTGGTCAAGGGTTAATGAATTGATGGCGGTGGTGATGGGGAAGAAGGGGCTTGTGGGGCTCTGGGGACATCTGCAGCTGGGGGATAGTAAAGGTGCCATAAAAGGGGTGGGAGGGACCCAGGGTGACATGGTAGAGGAGAGAGTGCCCCAGTGTATGCCCTACGTTTCTTTCTGTTTCCTACCCTAGCTAGATCATGGTACACTGCAGGGGCTGAGGAAGGTGCTAGATTAGGTGGGCGGGGGGGGGGTGCCAGGGAGGGTGATGAGTGCTACAGAACGATAGAGAGGGAGTCACCCAAGGAGGCCCTGGTTGCCCATGACATCTGGGCCAAGTGGCAGAGCTTGGCCAGTCAGCAGTGGGTTTGGCAGCAGGGCGGACTGAGAGAAATACTTGTGTCTCTCCCCTTCTAGCCCCAGCCGAGGGAGGGCCCAAGTCAGAGGTTAGCCAGTGGGGCACAAATTTCCCATGTGTGGGGGTGGATTTTGGTTCCCCAGCTCTTGTGAAGTTTCTGCCATGTGGGACAGTCCCCTCTCTCTTGAGACCTCCAAGTTTTAAGCCACTGAATGGAAGCTTCTGCCCTGCCCCACCACCCCGTTTCCCCTCCACCCTTGACCCTGAGACCGAATCCCCATTTCCCCTGAGGACCAGGCAGTCCCTCCTGGCACAGGGCTGGGCAGACCCGAGCCTTGAGCATTCCTTTGGATTTGGGGCTTCTGGGGCCAGCTGGCACCTCCTGCTTTGGGCTTGGCCTTGACCCCTTGATCCAAACTGTTATACCCACTTCCTCCACCCCATGGGAAGCTGGGTGGTGGTGGTTATGATTTAATAAAGAACATCAAACCATCAGGAATTGGCCCTGGGAGAAGCAGGAGGGAGGGAAGAGTCTGGGCCCCTGTGTGGGACAAGGCGGGGACTAGGCTGCAGGGCTGGTTTAATCTCAGCAGGGACTTCCCTGCACACTGCTTCCCCTCCTCTAAGCATGAATCCAAGGAGCCAGGAGGGGAGTCCAGAGGTAAACATAAGCGGCGTGCTACCTGTTGCTTCCTGCTTCCCTTCACCCTGGAAGCTGCCTGTGGGAGGAGCCATACACAGACCCAGACGGCGTCTGGGGGCTAGCTGGTTCCTGACTCACCCCTGGGGATCACCCTACACCATGGTTTTCCTGTCGCAGCTGATTCACTCCGTGCTGACATGGTGAAGCCGCTGAGGGGAGGGAAGAGGCCTGTCTCCTGGTTCTTGAAGTTCCTTCCAACTGCAGTGTTGAGTGTCGACAGGCTGTGTGACCTTCCATAAGTTTCTCCTCCTCTCTGGGCCTCCCTCCCCTGCTCTGCCAATGGCCCATCCCCTTCTTGGCTCTCAGGAGGTTCTGTAACCAGATCTGTCATTTGTAAAGTAGAGTCCTGTGAGCACACACGCACGTGCATGTGTGTGCACAGACACACATACACCACACAGGCTCTCAATACAGAACAAAAGCAGGCGACTCTTCTCAAACATGTGATAATGGGTCCCACCTCATCAGCCCTGCTTGTCCTCCACCGGAAGCCCTCGCACCTACCTGCCGCCCGTCTGCAAGCAGGGACGTGGTGTAGCGTGGTGGTGGAGTTGGACCTGGGGCAGGAATCTTGGCCCTGCTCCTTCCTATCTGTGACCCTTTCCGAGCCTCAGTTTCTGAATCTGAAAACTGAGGATAATGGTAACTACTATATCTCACAGGGGGACGTAAGAGAAAACAAAAATGTGTACGTGAAGCTTAGCAGGTTTATACCTGGTGCGCAGTGAGTGCTCTGTAAGTCAGAGCTGTTGTTCTTTTCTGCCTCTGGCCCGTCTTTCAAAGTTGAACCAGGCTGCTTTGCAGGCCTCCAGGGACATTCCCTAGTAGGTACTTCTGTGAGGGCTCTCCATGCCTCTCCAACATGAGTGTGTGCGCACCCCAAGACGCTAGTCATTTCCGGCTGTGTGGTGCTCCCCAGCTCTTCCTAGGGTGGCTGGTTTCCCCAGTGTGACTCTAAGCTTCCTGAGGGGAAGTAGGTCTGAACGTCAATGGCAGATTTTCTCCAGCCCCCCTCTTCTGTGCTATGTACACCGAGTACTTTCCTCTTTCCAACTGGTTTGCCGCATACTGAGTATCTCCATGAACTGTCCCCAGGCTGGGACTGCCCTTTCTGTCTCTGTATCCTGACTTCTGGCTCCAGGCTGGGCACACAGCAGGAAATAATAGTTGAATGAATAAGTGATTCTTGTTGGGGCAGCTCAGCAGGACCCAGCTCAGTGCCAGATCCTTGGTGAC